GCAGTCGGTAGGCTTCCTTACTCCCATATCCACCCCTAGCTCTGGCTCCCTGTCAGAAATAACAACTCCTTCCAAGGAGTGTGGGAGGAGGGTTAGGATATCCCTCCAAAAGGAACTGAGTTAGGCCAAAGCTGATGTTCCTGCCCACCCCACTTCCTACTCACATGGGCTGAAGGGCTATAGGACTGGGACTTGCTGATTGACAAGTTACTGTGTCACTAGCAAAGTATGGGACCACCTTCTATAGCTGCCCTTCCCTGGGACTGTAAGCACTCAGTACATACCCCTAAATTGAAATAAAACCACACCAGAGTTTTGGCATTTATTGGGTACCTCAAACAGCCACTGACACTCCATTTTATACAGTTTGTCCTTGTCTTGTAGGTGGGGGCTCACTTGGTGGCATGGGCTGAGATAGTAAGGCCCCTTACTTCCAGACCTTTGATTGGAATCCTCCCTGTTCCTTAATGACCTCATCTTCCAGAGGCAGCAGACAGGGAAATTTGAAAGTACCTCTTCTCATAGCTATTAGAAAGGACTTTGTGTTCAAAACCACCAGGCTTGAGGATGTGTGAGCAGACAGCAAATGTGAGGGAGAGTCTGCTTGGATTACTGCAGTGCAGGTCTGGGGTAGCTGCAGGGTGGTCCACTTCAGGTGAGTTTCAGAGCTCATTCTAAAGGGTGGCAATTCCTTCTAAATTAGTGTGACAAAATTTTTTTGAGAAACTGGTGTTTCGTTCAGGTGAATGGGCAAGTGTTGTCAGATCTTTTTTTTTTTTTTTTTTTGAGACAGAGCCTCAAGCTGTCCCCCTGGGTAGAGTGCCATGGCATCATGCTCACAGCAACCTCCAACTCCTGGGCTCAAGCAAGTCTCCTGCCTCAGCCTCCCAAGCAGCTGGGACTACAGGCGCCTGCCACAATGCCTGGCCATTTTTTGGTTGCAGCCATCCTTGTTGTTTGGCGGGCCCAGGCTGGGGATTCGAACCCACCACCTTAGGTGTATGTGGCTGGCGCCTTAGCCGCTTGAGCCACAGGCGCCGAGCCGTGTTGTCAGATCTTAACCTGCAAGTCTCCGTCAAAGACCGGAGGCTGAGGCAAGAGAATCACTAAGCCCAAAAGTGAGACTCTGTCTCTTAAAAAAAAAAAAAAAACGACTTAGAGACTATGAAGGACTGAATTCTGAATTCTCCAAATCTGTAGTTTGGGCACCAAGAGTAACCATTGGTGGCTTCTTGGGAGAGGCAGCCAGTCCAAGGTGGTGGTCTCAGCAGCCTCAAGAGCCCTCTTGCCTTGACAATCCAAATGTCCAAGATCTGGGACAGGGTGATCTCTTTAAAACGATGGCAATAGGTATGGGAAACTAGAAGTGAACGTTTCATTTAAGGCTTATACCTGAGTGCAGGTGATCTGGACTCCTGAATCCAAGTTATATTCAGGAGCAGATGGGTAGGAGCACCACAAAGCCAGGCAGTTAGGTGAGGTTGTTAAGGCCTATTTGCCCATTTTGCCCAGGGTAGTTCTGGAAGTTAGAGCAAATGGGCACCCCTTGGCACTTTGCCTGAAGGACAGGCTAGCAGTCACACCAGAGCACAGCTGTTTAGTACAACCCCCCCAGGCTGCTGGGATGCTTATATTTTGTACAAGGATCAGAGGACGGTGGCACTTGGTTGCCCTCAGGGTGCCACTGGGACCTGAGGTTCCAAGAGTGTTCTTGATGATAGTAGCTCAATTAGACACAGTGCAACTCTTATTCTTCAAGTTCACCCCTATGAGGGACTTTTAAGAATAGTACTACAAGCCGGCACTAGCACTAATCCTAGCACTCTGGAAGGCTGAGGCAGGTGGATAGCTTGAGCTCAGGGGTATAAGACCAGCTTGAGCAACAGCAAGACCCTGTCTTTAAAAAATAAATAAATAAATAATAGAAAAACTAGCTGTGCATTGTGGTAGGTACCTATAGTCCCACCTACTCAGGAGGCTGAGGTAAGAGGGTTGCCTGAGGTTGCTGTGAGCTATGATGTCATAGCACTCTAGAGTGACAAAATGAGACTGTCTCAAAAGAAAAAAAATTGTACTACATAATACTCATTAGAAAAAGATCTTAATTAGGAACACAAGTCTCTTTCAAAAATTAATGTTGGTTCCAAAGATAAGCTTTGTTAAACTGAATTAAGTTTGGCCTAAACCGCCTCTGTACATAGTGTGCTATAAGCTAACAACCTGCAACCTAACCTAACCTTAAGAGTATACGTTTTTTTAGAGACAGGTTGCAATCTGTTACCCAGGCTGGAGTGCAGTGGCACAGTCAGAGCTCACCGCAACCTCAAATGTCTGGGCTCAGGTGGTCTTCCCGCCTCATCCTCTTAGCTAAGTAGCTGAGACTACAGGCTCAACTACCACACCAGACTAATTTTTTAATTTTTTTGTAAAGACAGGGTCTCATTAGGTTGCCAGGGCAGTCCTCACACAGTCCTTCCACTTTGGCATCCCAAAGTGTTAGGATTATAGGCATGAGCCATGGTGCCCCTAATCTAAGAATACATTCCTGTAACAAGTGGCCTAGTCTCAGCCAATCACAGCAAACCTGCCAATCATAGACTAAAGGATGCCAAAACATGTTAAATAAGGAAAATGTCAGACTGCAGTCAAATAGGTTATCTCTGTATGTCATTTCCACTTCTCTAGCTATAAAGATAGGTTGCACATGTTGTGGGATGGAACATTTGAACTGCTTTTGTTCCTGAGTACTACCCAGTTAATGAATCTTTTCATAGTCAAACTATGCTAAAGTTAACTTGTTTAGGATTTTTCTTTTAAAAGATTGGTGTCAGGAGTGGGATGCAAAGTAGGACTTCCAGCAATGCCCAAGAGCATTGAATGACCAAGCAAAGATAACCTACCAGCACCCATAGATCCCTCATAGCACCTGGAGGCCATGGTGAGTTCTCTCTTAAATTTCAAGCATCATGAACTTACATTTTGAGCTGAGTTTATTTGAGCAATATTTACTGTATTGGGTCCAGGATTGGACTGGAGATCAGTTAAGAGACATTGGGTAGGTAACTTTTTGATAATGGATTTGTCTCAATCCAAGAAGTCTTTGAGACTCCATCTTTTGAAACTCCAGTTAATTTTATGTGTAAGAATATGGGTCCCAGAACTTGTGTATTTTTAGAAAGATGGGTTAATCTTACTAGAAAGAGCATAAAATTAAGATGGCCACAGTGTGGGAGTTTTAGTTGAGGCAGAACTGTTTATTTGTGGGGCAGAGGAAAAGTATTAAAACCACAAGAACAATGTGATGCACTGTAGAGGCACTGAAGATTTTTTACAAAAGCAAATGAATGACGTAAGCAGCTAGACACGAGGAAAGAGGTCTGCCTTGACTGAATTAACCCCAACTGCTGCTTCTACCTGTCTTTACCTCAACACTCTGGGTCCACTAACTGTTTTGCACAATTTGAGGATAATGGAAAAAGGGGAAGCTGGATAAATGCCTTACAAAGTGAGACCCTCTGATCAGGAAGACTGCTGGCCTAACCACTTTTATTCCACAGTCTAAAGCTGAGCCTAAAGTCATCATAAGGGACTTAGCTAATCCAAGAGAGTATCAAGAACTTACTGAGATGGCTTGGTGCCCATACCTCAGTGGTTCAGGCACTGGCCACATGTACCAAGGCTAGTAGGTTCAAACCCAGCCCTGGCCTGCTAAAGAACGAAAAAAAAAAAAAATCTGGGCTTGTGGTAGGCACCTGTCATCCCAGCTACTTAGGAGGCTGAGGCAAGAGAATCACATAAGCCCAAGAGATTGAGGGTTGCTGTGAGCTGTAATGTCACAGCACTCTGCTGAGGGTGACATAGTAAGACTGTCTCAAAAAAAAAAAATTACTAAGAAATTTAGAATCCTCACAGGAGCTTATGATGCAGCACTCTCTAATCTTAACCAGTTTACTCATGTGATACTGGGCCCAGGAGAAACTTGAAAATGGATGGCCATAGCATAACCTGAGTAGAGGGGGCCAGGCACGGTGGCTCACGCCTATAATCCTAGCACTCTGGGGGTCTGAGCTGGGTGGACTGCCTGAGTTCACAGGTTTGAGACCAGCCTGAGTCAGAGTGAGACCTTGTCTAAAAATAGCCAGGCATTGTGGCAGGCACCTGTAGCTACTTGGGAGGCTAAGGCAAGAGAATTGTTTGAGCCCAAGAGTCTGAGGTTGCTGTGAGCTGTGATGCCACTGAGTGCTACCAAGGGCAACAAAGTGAGACGCTGTCTCAAAAAACAAAAGCAAAAACAAAAAAAACCTGAGGAGGATATTAAAGACCCTTCTAAAACTTCCTCAAGAGAAGGGTCAAAAAGAGCTAGAAAAATTGCTGGTCTTTTACATTCAATCCCTAAGGTTTTTCTACAAAAATTTGGTCCAGAAAATCTTTTTTTTTTTTTTTTTTTGAGATAGTCTCACAATGTCGCCCTCAGTAGAGTGCCATGGCATCACAGCTTACAACCACTTCAAACTCTTGGGCTTAAGCGATTCTCTTGCCTCAGCCTCCCAAGTAGCTGGGACTACAGGTGCCCAACACAATGCCCAGATATTTTTTGGTTGTAGTTTTCATTGTTGTTTGGCAGGTCCAGGCCGGGTTCAAACCTGCCAGCTCTGATGTATGTGGCTGGTGCTCTACCTACTGAGCTACAGGCGCCAAGCCTAGAGGAATTCTTTTTATTTCCCACAAACACCTACTGAGATTCCCACTCTAGTAGTGCCCACATACTGGTTTCTAAAGATCATTTCTCACTAAAAGGTTTCAGAAGTCTTTGAAGAAATCACTGATTCCAGTCGGAAGCGGAAATCATACCATAAGAGCCAAGAACATCTTGCTGTATCAGAAAGCAATCAAATTGTTATATCAGACGATAAAACAAAATGTTAATGACTTGGGAACAAATTTGAAGAGGCTCCCACTAGCCAAAGATGGGAAAATTAAGCATCAAAAAATATAATGGGGTGCTTGCTTTGGTAGCACATATACTAAAATTGGAACGATACAGAGAAGATTAGCACGGCAGTGCTCAAGGATGACACACAAATTTGTGAAGTGTTCCATATCTTTTTAATATGTTGTAGTAGCAGTGCAGTGTGTATGTGGCTGGTGCTGTGACCACTGTGCTACAGACGTCGAGCCTGGTCCACAAAATCTTGTAGGCAAAAGGATGAAAAAGTTTTAGATCATAAGGTTCACCACTTATGAAAGCTGCAGTGACTAAGATGGCATTAACTGCTCTTATAAATGGACTTTGTTTCCAACATAGCAGTCTAATTAAGAAACATAAACCAGGATTGAAAATTATAAATATGGTTGCTCTAGGACGGCAGTTCTCAACCTGTGGGTCATGACCCACAGGAATTGTATTAAAGGGCTGAGGCATTAGGAAGGTTGAGAACCACTGCTCTAAAACTTCCAAGTTGTACTGAACCTTTCCACCTTGTTTGTTCATAAACATAACAATCAGGCATTATGGGCTCTTACCCAAGAACATGGGAGAAAATATGCCTGCAATTAAGGCCTAGTAGGTAAGACATATTGTAATTGTTTAAAGGCAGTGGCAACAGCCAGATTGGTAGAGGGTTCAGCTGAGCTGGTTTTAGGGAGGGAACTTTTTTTTTTTGTGGAAATTCTATATGCTATGGAAAATTTTTTATTTTTTATTTATTTTGTATTTTTTTTAGAGACAGAGTCTCACTTTATTGCCCTCGGTAGAGTGCCCTGGCGTCACAGCTCACAGTAACCTCCAACTCCTGGGTTTAGGTGATTCTCTTGTCTCAGCCTGCCGAGTAGCTGGGATTACAGGTGCCTGCCACTATGCCTAGCTTTTTTTTTTTTTTGGTTGCAGTTTGGCTGGGGCCAGGGTTCATACCTGCCCTACCCACTGAGCCACAGGAATTTTAAATTCCATCCAACCCCAGCATTTTTCAGAAAGTAGACTAACATCCTTTGAGATTATTCTTTGGCAGGGTATGACAACTCATAATGAATTAATAGAAAGGGGGACTCCTCCAATTTAAGTCAACTCAAACTGAAGAGCTTTTGTGCTCACCTAAGCTTACCAATATAGCTAAAGACAGATAAATCAGTAGATATTTATGTACACAGCTGATAGTTTTGGAGTAGTCCCCAATTTTGGCATGCTATGGAAACTTTTTTTCACCTTTTTACCTGGATTCACATGATAGTGATGGGTGGCGCCCATAGCTCAGTGGGTAGGGCACTGGCCACAAACACCAAGGCTGGTGGGTTTGAACCCGGCCTGGGCCAGCTAAAACAATGACAACTGCAACAACAACAACAAAAATAGCTGGGCATCGTGGCAAGCGCCTATAATCCCAGCTACTGGGGAGGCTAAAACAAGAGAATCACTTAAGTCCAAGAATTTGAGGTTGCTATAAAGTTGTGACACCATGGCATTCTACCCAGAGCAACAGCTTGAGACTGTCTCAAAAAAACCAAAACAGACTCTATGATCTCATTTGCTCTCACAAGCTTAAGCAAGGGCAAAGTTTGGCCTGCTTAATACTTGGAAGAGAGACACCTGGGAATACAGGGTGCTGTAGGCTAAAAGGAAACCCAAACCAAACCGAAACAAAACAAAAAAACTGACAACCAGACTCCAAGTGGTTGACCTCCTTTCTGTTATCCTGTTGCCATCCCAAACTATTATTAAAACTGAAGCCCACACCTGTAAAACTGAACCTGAGTATCAAGGGAATGCCCTGGCAGATTTTCAAGCTAACTCAGTAAAGAAATAGTTAGGATGTGCAATTTCTTTTTTTTTTTTTTGAGACAGAGCCTCAAGCTGTCCCCCTGGGTAGAGTGCCGTGGCATTACAGCTCACAGCAACCTCCAACTCCTGGGCTCAAGCGAGTCTCCTGCCTCAGCCTCCCAAGTAGCTGGGACCACAGGCGCCTGCCACAACGCCCGGCTATTTTTTGGTTGCAGCCGTCATTGTTGTTTGGCGGGTCCGGGCTGGGGATTCGAACCCGCCACCTTAGGTGTACGTGGCTGGCGCCTTAGCCAGTTGAGCTATAGGTGCCGAGCCAGGATGTGCAATTTCAATGAACTCCATAAGATTGATCCAGATCAACTTTCTTATAGTCATTTTAACAAACAGTGCAGTGCACCTGATCTGGAAAAAAAAAATTGGTATTGAGGAGGATTTAAATTAATGTTAAGTGTGCACTCATGGAGGGCACAAAGTGGCCGGCCACCTGGTACTTCCTAAGTCCTTGAAGCTTCCATTGTTAACAGCTATGCACTCTACAATTCATCACAGAACAAAATGATCCAAATTATAAAAAATATTGGTGGAGTAACTGTTCTAAAATTGCTGAAATGGGGACAGTAGAAGAAGTCAAAGGTATTCAAAGTGTGAAAGAGATTCCACAGGAGGAACGTTCTCCATTGAATTAGGGACCGTTTCTGCAAACAGCTTGATTGAGCTTAGAAGCAAATTCTTCCTCAGAACCTCAGATAAGACCCCATCCTGTGACTGACATCTTGATTTCTGCCTGCTGGGACCCTAAACAGAGGAAGCAGTTCAGCTCACCTGGACTTCTGATCTACATAACTGGGTATAATAAATGGGTATTGTTTTAAATCAAAGGAAATAAAAAATAAAGTATCTGAAATGGGTTATAACCAATACTTGCTTTGTCAAACCCTTAATCATGGGAAGGTGATAAGAACTCCAGGTGGTATATTTGCACCTGATAGACTGAGCATTTGAACATTTATGGATGGAGTCATTCAAGTGCCCACCTCAATGTGGTGTCAGTATGTTCTTGTAATATACTGTTTTCTGGTTGTATAGCAGCTTTCCCATGTAGGAAAGCTGACACTGACAGTTCAGAAGTCATGAGAAAATGTGTTTCCTTTATGGGGCATCTCTAGACAAATCTCTAGTCACAGAGAAACCTATGTTACTGGACAAATTATAAAGCAGCTAAATAAGGTATTATTAACACACATTATCATCGTCCCTATACTGAAAAGGTCTAAATGACAAACGGACATTTTAAAACTGAAATTGTCAAAATTAACTGAATTGACTGGATTGCCTTGGCTTTGATGGCAATCAGACCCACTCCCACTGGGAAACATATGGACCTTTTTTGAAATAGTTATTGGAAGGCTTTTGCTCCACATAAACAGAAGTCCATTTAACTCCCACTCTCCTAAACTCTTTTTTTTTCTGAAATAGAGTTTTACTCTATTGCTCGGGCTAGAGTGCTATGGTGTCAGCCTAGCTCAGAGCAACCTCAAACTGCTGGATTCAAGCAAGCCTCCTGAATGTTTGGGACTACAAGCATCTGCCAGCATGCCCAACTAGTTTTTCTACTTTTAGTAGGGACAGGTCTCTACTAAAAATATAGAGTTTAAGAGCTGGGCGGTAGAGGTAGCTCACACCTATTATCCTAGCACTCGGGGAGGCTAAGGCAGGTGGATCCCTTGTGCTCAGGAGTTTGAGACCAGCCTTAGATAGAATCATTTGAATTTGAGTTGTTTGATTCTAATCAGTTTGGTTTTGGAGACTCCTATTAAGGAATGCACTTCAGCTTCTTTGCATTAGCCTCCTGAGAGCCATCATCATGGCTTCAATGATGTGCTACAGTCTTAAATACTCATATGCAGCTATCCTTTGTATCACAAATGGTCTCATTACAGTTAGAATTACAAAAACACAGACACAGAGAATCATCTAACTAATTTAACACTGTAAAGTTCAAATTCTATACTGAGGTCAAACAAGTCCATTATTATGGTGACAAGAGGTAGTATTCAGTTAATAAAAATTGAGAGTCTTACCAAAAAGGGGAGTAAAACATCAAAAACAGACTCTATAGGGCAGATCAACCAAAAAAGGGGGGGGAGGAATCACTAAACTAAGTTTGGCTTAAAGCTGCCTCCATACAGCTGAACTGTAACTTAAAGTGTAAACAACCTGCAACCTAATCTAAAAGTATGCTCTTAAAACAAGTAGCCAAGTTTCAATAATAGCAACTGAACCTTTGGACAATCACAGGATGGGCTGCCAAAACATGTCAAATAAGGCAAACACCAAACTATGCACGACCAGGCTATCTCTGTATGTCATTTCCATTTCTCTGACTATAAATATATTCTATACACACTGTGGAATGGGGCCTTTTTTTTGTTTGTTTTTTCAGTTTTTGGCCAGGGCTGGGTTTGAACCCACCACCGACGGTATATGGGGCTGCTTTGAGCACTTCCAAATGCCCTGGAATGGGGCATTTTGAAACACTTTTGGTTCTAAGTGCTACCCAGTTCATGAACTTTCTGTCTGTTCAATTAAATTCCATTAAAGTTAACTTGTCTAAGGTTTTTCTTTTAAGGTTTTTCTGCAAGCCACAGAGAAAAAAGAGGTGTTCACAAAACAAAGAAGTTTCTTACCCTTCCAATAACAAAATGAAAAGTTGCCAGCAAAGTTTCAAAGGGTATTCTAAAACCCTACATTTTTAATCTAAGAGCAAATAAAATCATTTCTTACTATAGAAAGTAAATCAGCCTTTTTTTTTTTTTTTGAGACCAGAGTCTCAAGCTGCTACCCTGGGTAGAGTACTGTGACATGATAGCTCACATCAACCTTAAACTCTTGGGCTCAAGCGAGTCTCTTGCCTCAGCCTCCCAAGTAGCTGGGACTTACAGGTACCCGCCACAATGCCCAGCTATTTTTTGATTGTAGTTGTCATTGTTGTTTGGCGGCCTGGGCTGGATTGGAACCCACCAGCTCTGGGGCATGTGGCTGCCACTCTAGCTGCTGGAGCTACAGGTGCGGCTGAGCTGTAAATCAGCATTTCAAAGAACAGTGATTCTATTCTGATGTTTCTGCAGCCCCTGGGGCACAGGCGGAGACTCTTCCAAAGATCACACTCACTCTGGACCCTGCCTTCTGGTGCCTCTTCCTGCACTGGCGACCTGAAGTAAGGGAACTGAAAGCAACTGAAGCAAGGGAAACATCTGGGTAAATGTCAAACAAAATAAAGGCACACGATCTCTAGTCTCCATTTGTGGCTGTTATTTAGTGGCCTTTGGTAGACAACAGGCTCTTTCTTTTGCCTGTACCAACACTAAGTATCAATATAGACAGTCCTTAAATTGGCTTATCACCAAGCACAGAAGAAGCATGGAATGTTCACTGTACACTGACCAGAACCCCAGGAATTCTGTCCATCTTTGTTTTTGCTGGGAAATAAATGGATCCAGAAAGGCTGAGTGATGTGCCCAAGGCCACCTTGTTGGCCTTGGCTTTTCCTGTCCTTTGGATTACATGATGAAAAACTTTTTTTCACCGTTTTACCTGGATTCACATGATAGAAATTTCCTCTCCCAGAGTCATTTGTTATCTACCCAAAAGAGGTTTGCATCCCTTTAGCATCCTGCACCACAGGTGAAATTTAAGTTCATGTGAATCAATGTGAAGTGTATGATGCCAATTACAGCCTCAAAGGCCAAGGCTAGTGGGGGGGAAGGCTACAGCATTGTCTCCAGTGACAGCTGCCAGTTATCTTACTGTCATTCATGATTCCAACTATGTTCCTCAAAGTTCCAAAACCCTAGGTTCAGTCATCTGGGGTTTTGATAACAGCACCTAGAAACAGAGCCTTGAACTTTGGCCTGTTCCATTTATAAATAAATAAATAAATAAATAAGATGCAGTTCCCAGGCTAATGCCTGGCTCCAGTTGATAGTCTTCTTCCCAGGGACACAAACTCCTTCCTTTCTCGACTTATGTAAACATGGGCTGCATTAGCTTGTCTCCATATTAAAGGAAAAAAGAACCCAGCCTTCACTTTTTCTATTTGGTGGATGAATACCACTTATTCTGTAGTCAAGAGAGGCTGGCAGGCCAGGCCTTGGTTCAGGGAGAAGCAGGAAGGTCTTCAGAAAGCTCCTTGCTAGGATCTCCAGGTTTATCCTAGTCATTTGTATCTCCATGGCTGGGAAATGCATCCTCAAATTAGAAAAAAGCATGGAAATCATCTCCCTTTAAAATGGCCTCAGGGCCAGAGAGGCAGAGATTGTACAAGGCCACAGCCAGTCAGGCAGAGCTGGGGTTGTACGATGCAGGACTGGGTGCAAGGGCTCAATACATACCACCCAGGACCTGCCCATAAGAAGGGCATTATGGGCTCAGCGCCTGTGGCTCAAGTGGCTAGGGCGCCAGCCACATACACCTAAGGTGGCAGGTTCGAACCCCCAGCCTGGGCCCGCCAAACAACAATGATGGCTGCAACCAAAAAATGGCCAGGCGTTGTGGCGAGTGCCTGTAGTCCCAGCTACTTGGGAGGCTATGGCAGGAGACTTGCTTGAGCCCAGGAGTTGGAGGTTGCTGTGAGCTGTGATGCCATGGCACTCTACCCAGGGGGATAGCTTGAGGCTCTGTCAAAAAAAAAAAAAAAAAAAAAGGGGGCATTATGTCACCAGGAGAGAACATTCTCGACCAGGAGAACTTGAGGCCCTAAGTGTACACCTACCATGGTTCTTCATCCACAGGGACCTGCAGGGAGGGAAGGATTGAACCCATGGAGCATCTCACTGTACAATTTAAGAGAAGGGAAAGTTGGATCCACATTCCAGTGTGGAATGAGCCAGACACTACGCTCTCCCATTTCATCCACCTCCCTGCTTCAGCCTCACCACTACCTCTTCAGGAGGGCATCTACATGGTTCTTGGCCTTGCCCAGGTCCTGCTCTTGAGAGAGCAAGAAGGGGAGTAGGAAAGCGCTGCCACATAGCTCTCACTCCTGGCCCAGGCTGGCAACGAAGAAGCAGAAGCAGCAGCAGAACTGCAGTCCTGGTAAAGCTGGCTGGTAAGGACATAGGCTCCAGCCTAGGAGAGAAGTTCCAAGAGCAGTTTCCAGATGCGCACAGTGCCAGGTTCTTCAAAACCAGGTCCTGCAGGGGCAATGCTGGCTGCTAAGAGAAAAATCTCCCTCTGGCTGTCGACAGCCTGCAGGCCCAGCTCCTGCTGCAGCTCCACCACACTCATGGCCTCGCTCAGGTCCTGGTGTAAAACACAGAAGCCAGTGAGAACGCTGCTGACAGTGTCTCCCAGCACATTCCCACTTTGTCACCCATGATCAGACTACCCTGGGAAACATCAGGACCCCAGTTACCAAAAGTAGCCTCTGGACCCCTTGGTCTAAACTCAACACTCTCTCCTTCATCTTTGACTCTCCCTTGTACCAACCTCTTTTTATTACATCATTAGCCACTGTGGTAATAAGTAGGGCACTTCCTAAGTCTCAGTCAGATGTGGTGACAGGCATTTTTATACCTAGTCTGATTTAATTCTTACAGTCCATAGTTAACTGGAAATCAGCTGAGGCAGGTAAAGTTGTTAAGCCAAGATAACAGTGGTAAGTGGCGGAGTCAAGTTCCCACTTAGGTTGGTTTGATAACCAAGCTTTCGGCTCTTATAGGAACCCTAACTCTGTACCCTGAACTCACAGTAGTGAGACTGTATAGCAGGGTCACTTCCAGACAAGACCTTAGAAGCCAGCTGGAGAAAGAGAGGCCACTACATAGCATGGCTGGTGATGGCGCATTTTATTTTTTTTGAGATGGAGTCTTACTATGTTGCCCTTGGTAGAGTACCATGGCGTCACAGCTCATAGCAACCTCAAACTCTTGGGCTTAGGTGATTCTCTTGTCTCAGCCTCCCAAATAGCTGGGACTACAGGTGCCTGCCACAACACCCAGCTATTTTTTGTTGCAGCTGTCATTGTTGTCTAGCTGGCCTGGGCCCGGTTTGAACCCGCCACTCTTGGTGTATGTGGCTGGTGCTGTAACCACTGTGCTATGGGTGCCAAGCCAATGGTACATTTCAAAACCCTAGTCCAAGACTAAAATGAATCTTCTTAGAGCAATTCACAGAATACTAGACCTCAGGTGTTATCTTCTGTAGGTTCAAAACTGCTATAAATTAGATTATAATTAGGGATTTATTGTCCAAACCAAGGTACTTCTCAGGCTCAAAATAGGTGCTATTAAGAATTATACCAGGCTGGCTGGGGGTGGTGGTTCACACCTGTAACCCTAGCACTCAGGTAGGGTGAAGTGGGTGGACTGTTTGAGCTCAGGAGTCTGAGATCAAACTGAGCAAGAGTGAGTTCCCAATGCTACTAACAAACAGAAAAACTAGCTGAGTATTGTGGCTGGTGCTTGTAGTCCCAGCTACTTAGGAGGCTGAAGCAAGAGGGTTTGAGGTTGCTGTGAGCTACGATAATGACATGGCACTCTACCCAGGGAGACAGAATGAGACTTCATCTTGCCAAAAAAAAAAAGTTACACCAGAACAACAGGCATACGTGGGGACTGTCCTAGGCAGACCAGGACATATGATCACCCTATTTATAAGTGATTGTTGAATATTTCCTGGCAAGCATGGGGAATCTAAGGCCAAAGATATATAGCTTCTCTGCAAGTCCAGCTGGGAACGTGTCCCACAGTTCTCAGAGACACAAGGGTAAAGGCCACAGGAAATGTGGCTGGCTCTATACTGCAGCAGTTTCACCTGGTATTGACAATGGGACCCAGGGTCTGTGGCACTGAAAGCTGCTGGACCCGAGGCAACTCTCTGGTGATCAGAAGAGGTAGTGTGGTGATCAAGAGCAGGAGTTCTCGTGAAAATGTGAGTTCAAGTCTTGGTTTTGCCACATTTCAGGCAATTGGGGATAACAGCAGGGCTACCATGGGGTTTCAGTAGGACTGATGTGAGGTCATGATTGTCAAATGCTTAGTGCTGTGCCTGGCACACTGTAATCACACAATAAATGTTAGTTATTATTACTATTTAACCTGTTCTACTTTTAGTCACTTCCCAGTTTTAGTTCTCTGGCATACAGCCAGAAGTTGTAAGGCACAACAGAGAGGAAAAGGTGCAGATTTGGAATTGGACACCCTATTTTCACTACTTTCAAGGTATACAACCTTGGGGAGATCACAAACTTTGTTAAGCTTCAGATTTCCCATCTGGAAAATGGGAGTAGTACTTTATAGTTGTAGGGTCAACAGAAGCGTCATAACAAATGTCATCCAAAACCATGCCTGGCATATAGTAGGTACTTGATTTTTTTTTTTTTTAAATTGAGACAGAGTCTCACTTTGTTGCCCTGGTGCAACAACCTCCAACTCTTGGGTGTAAGCGATTCTATTGGCTCAGCCTGGGACTATAGGTGCCTGCCACAATGCCCGACTATTTTTTTTTTTAGCAGGCTGGGGTTGGTTCGAACTCACCAGCCCTGGTGCATGTGGCTGGTGCCCTACTTCCTGAGCTATAGGTGCCACCTATTTTTTTCTTTTTTGACGCAGAGTCTCGCTCAGTTGCCCTGAGGTTGAATGCCATGGCATCACAGCTTACAGCAACCTCAAAGTGTTGGGTTCAAGCGATTCTCTTGTATCAGTCTCCCAAATAGCTGGAACTACAGATGCCTGCCACAACACCCAGCTAGGCTTTCTATTTTTAGTAGAGATGGGTGTCTCGCTTTGGTCAGGCAGGTCTTGAACTCCTGAGCTCAGGTGATCCACCTTCCTTGTCCTCCCAGAATGCCAGAATTATGGGTCTGAGCCACCATGTTCAGTTCATCCCTCCAGGGCAACAGGTGATAGAAAGGCAAAGAAGGAAGAAAAGAGCAGGGATAAGGAAATAGCACAGGTAGAGAAGGTGGGGACAGTATCTTAGCCAACCTCCCAGGCCATAGTCTGGACCCAGATTGCTATACCATGCTCCCCGCCCCTGCATAGGCGCTGTGAGTTGAAGTCCAACTGGCCTAAGCCTCCCTCTCATGGCTGTCACCTGCTTGTTGGCCACCACGACGACAGGCAGGTCAGGGTCCTTGTCCAACAGCTTGTGTAGCTCCTGCCTGGCCCAAGGCAGCCGCATCCGGTCTGCTGAGTCCACTACAAACACCAGTACATCCACCTCATTCACAAACTCCTTCCAGTAGAAGCGCAGGTTCTGGCTGCCACCAACTGAAGAGAGGCCAGGGGCTAGTTCAGAGCCTCCCTGGGTCCTGGTTCTCCACCCACACCTTCCCAACTCCACCCCACTTCCAGCTTCCCAAGGTTCTACCACCCAGGACATGGAAAAGAACACAGGTTCCAGACCCAATCAGACCTGGGTTTAGTTCCAGCTCTGACAGCTGGGTCTCTTAGGGCAAGTCCCTAACTTTGAGCACTAGTCTCTTCTCCACTGAACTTACCTACTGAACAGGTTACAGTAACCCAAAGGTACCACATATAATGTACCTCTCACAGCAATAACATATGTATAGGTGCTCCATAAATGGTACTATTCAGTTCTCTCTCCCAGGCTGCCTTGCCTCTTGCCAATTCCTAGGTTCTACCTGAGCCCATTCAAGCCAATAGGTCAGTAATGTGATCAATAGCCAAGAGTCCTAAAGTCTAGAAAAGTCAGAATATCCTGCTCTGCCTATACCCGGCTATTCTCCCATCAGTCTCCTCATTTAGTCCTGTCATCCCATTTTCTTTCCTTGGAAATGCCATTCTCAATCCTACCAACACATGGTTGCCCATACAGCATCCCCAATCTGGGTTGCCTTCCTGTTCCTCCCTGGCCCTCTGCATAGTCCTGCTGGTCTCTGCATCCTAGTGTTTTTGATTGTGTTTCTTGGGCTTGTGGACTCCAAGCCCTGACAGTCAAAGGCACTTACCTCTGGATCCCCCCAAAGCCCTCAGCACAATGCCTGGCACATAGCAGGCACTCAACAAGTACTTACTGAGTGCTTACTAGGTGCCAAGCACTGATCTGGGTGCTGGGGATACAGAGGTGAGAGAAGTAGGCAGGGCCCTGCTCCCAAGGAGCTCCCTCCCCAACGAGGATGAATAGGGCAATAAAATGAACACATTTCAGACAGGAAGGAAATGGAACAGAAAAAGGGAAAGTGGCTGGAGTGGGGGTTGCCTGGAATAGGTGGTCTAAAAAGGTCTCCCCAAGGAGGTAACAAGTGAGCTGAATCTGGCATGATGAAGGAGAGGGAGTGGAAAGCATTACAGAGAGATGGAAGAGCAAGCTCAAAGTGTGTGAGAAACAGAAAGGCCAGGGCGGCTGAGGCACCACTGGAGGGAGGAAGAGGAAGGTATGAGCAAGGCTGGCTGGGGTGGACCATATAGGGCCAAAGCCCACAGTGGGGCTGTAGAGCGCCCCTTAACAACTTTAAGCAAAGGTGACACGATTTGACATGGGTTTCTAAGAGGTATCTCTGGTTGACACTGGGGACAGAAGTGAAAGCAGGAGGACCAGTTAGATAGTACTGAGAGTAAAGATGACCGTGGCTTGGACAAGGCAAGTAACAGCAAAGGTGGGGAGTGGACAGACACAGAGCGTATTAGAGGATACAGCTGACAGAAAAAGCTGATAAACTGGATTTAGAGGGTGTGGGAAGGAGAGAGTCATCAAAGTGTTGAACTCATTCATTCAATTATCAAGTATCTACAAAGAGTCCATTCTTGAGTGGCACTTGTGACTCAAAGGAGTAGGATGCCAGAGGTGGCGGGTTCAAACCCAGCCCTGGCCAAAAACTGCAAAAAAAAAAAAGAGTCCATTCTCTGTTGGGCCCCGTGCTGGACATGGTAGAGGAACACTGTGAAGGGATTGTTAGGGGAGAGAGAAGTCCCAGGACTTGACTGATCCAGGTTTGAATACAGGCCAAGTGACCCTATTGAGCCTGCATGGTTACCAATCAATTAGACCCTCCAATAATACAAAAACAGCCATCTCCTTCTCCTGGGGTTGGGAAGAGAGTAATTGTCTCTGTCAGATAGGAGGCCTCAAGCACAGATCTCCCACTGGATCTGTGTCCCTGGCACAAGGGAAGAAGCCAGAGAAAGCCTGCTAAAAGGACCAGAAGGCTAGGTGAATATCAATGTTTGCTACAATAAGGGAGAAAAGACATGGTCAGGCCAGAGAAGGTGGCAAGTGCCTGAGACCAGAGGAACTGATCCCACCACCTAACATTTAACTAAACCAGCCAAGTCTCAAAGGGTAGGCCGTCTCCCTGCTCCTCTCCACTAAGCTTGTGGCTAGACACAGGTGACTTAAGTACTGCTGCCCTCTCAATATCCTCTCTGTCGCTCTCTTCTAAAATTGCAAAAAGCCTAGGACTGAGAACAGGGAGTTTCTCAGACCCTCTCTGATCACATACTCAACAAGCTCTCCCAGCTACCTACTTGGGCCTGGGCCCTTGGGGCCTTGCTGAGCCTCTCTGTGCCCAAAGCCTGGTGAGGGACTCAGGCTGGTATGTGACAAATACTGCAGCAGAAGGGGAGCCCAGAGCAGGAGACTCATGTGGAAGTCAGGGAAGGCTTCAAAGGAATGTCATGTTTGAAGTGAATCTTGCAGGACGGGGAGTTTATCAAGAGAAGAAGGGCTTTTCTGACTGAGGGAACAGTGTATGCAAAGGACAGGAGATAAGACACCAAGTACCCTTCAGAAACAAGCAATGGAGCACACGGTGCTTAACAGCCAGGGTCTAGATCCATTTAGTCTGCATCAGAAGACTAGGACCTTGGGTGACTTTGGATGATTTTACTTGCTGAGCCTCAGTTTTCTTGGATATATAATGAAGGCAGTGACCAATTCTAGTTATATAACTAGAGGGTTTTATTAAGTAATGCCTGTCAAGTGCTTGGCATATGAACCCTTAGTTACTGGCAAGTAAGTGTTAGACGTGGGCTTTGGTAGGGGAGAGGGGCAGGTGGCCAACTTGGAGATTACCAATCATGAAGGGCCCTAAATACCTGAATACAGAGCTTGGACTGTATCCTTGCCCCCGAGAGGGGTGTGACGGTTTAGAACGCAGGACTGCCCTGCTTAGATATGCATTTTGACCCAGGCCTGAGTCTAGTAGAGATGATGGAGAGAGGGGTGGAGTGTCTGCTCACTTTCTAGCACGTCAACTTCGAAATCCTTGGTGGGCAGCCGCACAGAATTGAAGCCCCAGGTGGGTACGTGGCCTTCCAGCGCTGGCCTCCCCGACAGCAAGCGCAGAAACGTGCTCTTCCCAGAGCCGTCCAGCCCCACCACCAGCACCTCGCGCTGCTCCAGCTCCTCCAGCGCTGGCTCCTCATCCTCCTCATCCTCGGGCTGTGGGGCAGAGGTCAGGCTGCGGCCGGAAACCTCCCGCCTGACCCTTACTGAGGGAAGACCAAAGGCACCAAAGCCTGCGCTCCACCAGGTCCAGAGGACAGGCAGGCACCAGATGGAGGAACGGGACAAGCGCTGCCTTTGGAGTCTGAATTCCAAGCCCTAACCTTAGGGTTTTCTCTAAGCGACCTCGCTCATATTCCTTACCCTCGTGGAGCTTCCTCGGACTATCCCCACGTCCCGAGGGAAACTGGGGAAACATGCATGGAGCTGGACCCCCGGGCAGGCGGGGAAGCTCCCCAGGGTATCCCTGGGCAGCCGGCAACGCGCAGGCGCCAGCGGACCGGGCCCTAAGATTGCTATCCCCGCGCGCCCTCTTGACTCCCACGCGGACGGGAACGCCTGAGGCCCGCGGCGTGGCAAGACAGCATCACGCTCACCCACCCATTTCTCAGTTCCGGACTCAGCGCCTGCTCGACTGCTCGCCTCGTGCCCACCCACGTGGGGCCTGCGGCCTGCGGGCTGCAGCGTCCAAACCCCCAACCCCGGCGATTCTGGCGCTCACCTGGCTGTGGTCACACTCCTCCGCCACACTCAGAGTGGCGCAGACCCGGGTCCGCCCACTCCCTCCGGGGGCCCCGGCCCGACACTCACGTCCCAGTCGTCCCACTCGGGAAGACGGGCAGGCTCCGCGCCCCACCAGGCCTCGCCCGGGTCCCAGCGCCGCTCCCGTCCATGGCCGAAGTAGGTCTTCCAGAGGATGAAGAACACCGAACCAAGCACTGCCACAGCGCCGCCCAGCGCCAGCACCAAGGGGCCCAGCGGCCGCGGCGCCATCGGGCAGGTGAAGAGGCGCAGGTGTGGACTGTGCTGGCCCAGCCGCCCGGCTCGCCGAAGATGGCCCCGCTGCAACTGCCGCGGCCGCGCCCACCCACCCAACCCCAATCCCGCACTACAAACCCCACAATGCACCGCCGCTGTCGCTGCAGGCTGCCGGAACCCGGCGGCGCGGGGATCTCCAGCTCTCTGAGCCAGGTGCGAAGTGGAGCCAAACGCCGTGCCTGGGGTGGGCGAGAGACGGCAGTGTTTGCTATCGTCTACAAATACCTGGTAGGTGCTAAGGGGTTAGCCCACGGCTTTTGTTCGTTACCTTTTAAAATGCTTTGCAGAAGGGGAAACCCCACCCAAGGTCGCCCCGTAGTTAATTGATGCAGCCTGCGTTCAAACCCCAGCGTTCTGTCTCCTGGGAATCCCTCAAGGCTTTGGGAGGAAATTAAAGCGGTATGCTTGGGTCACACGGCTATGGGCTGGTAGAGGCAGGACTAGAATCTGGATCCCTGACTCCCAGCTGCCTCTACCCTCCTTTGGCTTCCTCCCTCACTCCAGGGATTTGGCTGTCCCGGGGTCTTGGGTAGGCTGATGAAGTAGACAGGGCCAGGAGTCAGAATGTTTAGATATGACCACCTTGTCCTAGGTCACCCCAGCGACTGCCAAGACTTCCAGGTGTAGACCAAGGAGGAGGAATGGGAGAAGCAGCCTGAAGGACAGCAATCGAGTTCCTTTGGCTTTTCAGAAGGGGACACCATGGGGTCTGTGGGGTAAAGGGGTGAAGACCTAGCCTCAAGCACCAGGGCTCTGGAGGGCCTACCTCTTCACCTCCCCATTCACCATTAACCATATGAATATCAGATTTTCTAAGAAACCCATTCTCAGCTCGGCACCTGTGGCTCAAGTGGCTAAGGCACTAGCCACATACATCTAAGGTGGCGGTTCAAATCCAGCCCGGCCCACCAAAACAACATTGATGGCTGCAACCAAAAAATAGCCGGTCGTTGTGGCAGGTGCCTGTGGTCCCAGCTACTTGGGAGGCTGAGGCAGGAGACTCACTTGAGCCCAGGAGTTGGAGGTTG